CACAGGGGCTATTCTCAGCAGATCAACAAGAGTACTTTGATTAGCCTGCTCACACAGGCTATTCTCGTCAGATCTGGAAAGGAACTTTGGCTGGCTCGCTCACAGCGGCTATTCTCAACAGATCAGCAAGTGGACTTTGATTAGCCTGCTCACAAAGGCTACTCTCGCCAGAACTGGAAAGGAACTTTGGCTGGCCCGCTCACAACGGCTATTCTCAGCAGATCAACAAGTGTACTTTGATTAGCCCGACATGTGAAATTAGCCGTTCCTGACTGCTGCGGAGGTTCTTGATGGGGCCGACTCACCGAAGCCCGCTATCCTAGCCTGCGGCAGAGTTACTTTATTAGTTCGAATCATGGAGGCAAGCCGTTTCCGCCATTTGCTTGATTGGACTGGATCGGTAGACTGGCTGTATCCCGCCGGTTGCTCCCTCTATACCCTGCTCGCACTCTCTCTCGTTCCTACACTGATGGAATCATACCCGTTCGCCAACTTTCCTTCCGCCCTTCTTCCCTGTTCGAACTCTCTCCATCTTGATCTCTCTCTTTCTCAATCTCTTCTTCTCCCCTATACCGTGCACGCCTCTCTCCGTCCCCTGTCCGATTCAACGCACTGCGCTGTGCACGGCGTACACCTAGCTCCCTGAATGCCCCTCACTCCGGCCCATCCACCATGCTCGAGGCGAACTTCTAAAGTGGGTTGCGTACACCTGGCGCACTACCCAGATTGCCCAGTCCGCCTCTCCCCCCTGTTCTCCCGTGGTCTTGCCCTATACCCCGTCTTGAACGCAGCCCCCACAAGGTCAACCCTGGTCCTCAGCGGTTCCTGTTCATTGCTGAGGGCTCGCACTCTCTGTACCCCCGGTACCAGGCCCAACACCCAGGCTATAAGAGGACTGCAGTCCCTGGCCATGGACTGCGGGAAAACCCAGGCCCAATGACCGTGCTCAGAGGGGCCCAGTCGGTACGAGCGGCCCACAGAGAAAACGGATTCACAACCCTTAGTTGAAGGCCTTTTCCCGGGACCTATAAAAAAAAGAAAAAAAAACAGCATCGCACCTCGGAATTACCAGGTTCGGTCTCAGCATCCCAAATGCATTAGTCAGGTCAGCAGCAGTTCCGAGCCTGGAGCATGTGTCGCAGGCTGCGGTCGTCTGTACCGTCACCACATCGAAGTTAGACTGGTAGTTATATCCAAAATTARTCATTTTTAAGGCTCAGYGGACCGGASCCGCCTCAAMCAATGTTAGGTTCYGTGCCGAGCAGCAAGTATGTCCCACCARCATCGGYACAAGAGTACTRTAGCACAGCCCCAATGTCACTCCAAGCACCACACRTGYCATTCCCATACCRGAAYTGTTACCGACTRTGYGACRGTTCTGCAGCCACTAGCWTCAGCCTAGTGTCATCCARCACTAGAGAATAAAAGTTGTCCCGTACTCAATGCCTTAGCAGCTCCCACCAACCAATGATCGTGTGTACGTTGATTCAACGCCAACCCGTGAAACAACCGCCTCGAACTGCTGCGGCCCGTGTCATATCGCTCTAATCCTTTTGAGTCGTAGCTTCTATCGTCGTCGAACCGCATCTGATACCGAACCAAAGCCGAATAAGAGACAACCGTACGGTGCCTATGTCGTGCCCATGCCGTACCTGAGGATGTCGGTGCTGAGCCTGAGTTAAATACCCGTGATAGCGCCGAACCTAGAATAACCTGCCGTCCAGGTTTCGAACCTGAAATACATCGTCATAGTGGCTCCATACCTGAAAGTAAGCCACCGTGGCGGTTCCGGCCCTGAAACAAATAGCCATGATGATGCTGATCTTGAAATAAATAGCCGTGATGATGCCGACCCTGGAAATAAATCACCCTGGTGCCCGAACCTGAAGTACGCCGATACCGGCTCAAGCCGAACCTCAAACATGTCCGGTACCGAACCTGACATCATGTTGTTGGTCCAATGTAACACGATCCCACGCTGCCCATATCCATGTGGTCATCGTCCGTACCGTCGGGCTCAGTAAGGTTAGTAATCATGTAAATAGGGGATGCGTCATAGAGAGTTTCGATCATCGGGGGAATAGCAAAAAAAAAGTTAGAGCTTAGGGAATTTGATCAAATCTGGGTTCTGAGCTGACGGTGGATATCCCATGCAAAACCAGACCCAGACATTGAATTATCATTAGCTCCTGTTTGTTCCACCATTTTTAATCGTTCTCCCTTTTCCTTAATTCTATCGTCTGAAATAGTGAATTTGCTATAGGTTCACCAAAAATGAATTCTGGGGGAGTTTAATCAAATGGTTGAAATTCTCTCTTTTCTTCTCTCCCCTACCATTTTTTAATCTTTTTCTCTGGTTTTCTATTTCATTGCCGGAAACATAAAATAACGAGGTATTTTCCCCAAAATTTAATTGCCGTGAAAAATAAAGGAACTAAGGGATATTACGTTTTCCTCTTCCCTCCTACTGTTCCCAATCTTTTTTTCCATCTCTATTTTAGGCACMAAAAATAGTCAAAAATTCGAGGCCTCATTTCGGCCCYGGCCRTATGCCRYAAAAACGTTGCGGCGAAGTCAKTCCCCRCGATGTCTCTCCGCRGCAGGTCAATTCGAGTCTAGCTCTCTAAACGGCCGGGAATGACGGTCCCTAGATGCGCCGAGTGTGGCCACTTATCTCGCCATCTTTCAGGGTTACTCGTAAGGCTCAGTGCGCCCAGAATCAGGGGTGCCCTGAGTTCCCCTAATTTTTGCTGCCTGGTCTAACCAGAGTACCGTCAAAACTCAGACTTCTCTCCGCGCCTAAGTCCCAAGACCGTAGATTTCAGGCGGCGCACTGCTTGTGGCCGCCTGACAACGTCGTGAGATAGGGTGCGTCGAGGGGAGTCGAGTGATACAGAACGAGAGTCGAAGTGGAGATGAGGAGTGACTCGGCGGCTTGGCTAGCATATGTTCTCTCACGAGAGTCCGCGTCCTATAGCGTGAGGAAGCTTGTAAGACCTAGAGAGACGGTTGTAGGATATGATATTCCTCTTCCTTTGAGGCTGGAGGAGACAGGCTGTGTTCCGATACGTTACTTTGGAACGCGACTGGCAAAGGGACTTTTCCTTTGGACGGTGATACTGAAGGATAGACGACCCGAAAGGACTCGTGACCTAGAAGGGGTAGGACACCTGATAGCGGACAGAACTCATGATTTAGATGTAGGACTGACGCTCGCAGGGGCTAGCAGGGTTTGGTGGAGGAACGAGTTGTTAGCCAGAGTGATCGTTAGTCAGCAACTGGCGAGACTCTCTGGAGGAAGATCGTACTGGAGTCGCTTGGTACACGGACCTCCGCATCCGGCCCTCTACCCGAAAGAGGGTTGGCGATTTGCACTTCCTGCGTTCGTAATAGGGCAGACCTACGAGAGCGTAGACCGTTTGAGTATAGCAGTGGACCACACACTTTACGCGCTTTGCGAGGGCTTGGCTCCCCATTTCAGGGAGGCATACTACGCCATTTGTGTGAGGTGGGGGTCACCCAGCAGAGAGACGCTTGACGACATAGACGTTACTTCCTGGGTGGACTGTCTGAGGCCAGACAATCTGATTACGTACTGCACGAGACGAGTGGAGATTAATTACGTGGGGCTAGAGGATGTGAGGTTTCTCTTCGAGGCCACAACTTAGGGAATGCCGGGAAGGACGACAACTGTGATGCGCGTAGAAAAACAACTGGTGTGCACAGGGTGCACTGTGACGGTACTTCTCCGAGCGTACATAGATGAGGACTTGACGGTAAGGGAGTGCCGACTACGAGCCAGGGAACTGATCATCGAGCATAGAGCTGATGTACTGGCGTAGGTGACGTTCCAGACCTCGATCTCGTATGATGTGATGATATGGTCTTGTGGTTATATGCGCGCGGAGCACTACCACGATGAGACGGTAGCGGAGGCTAGAACGAGGGTATGAGGATGAACCGGAAAAAGATGAGGCAAGAGTATGGAAGAGGAGAGTGAGGCGGTCAGAAGAGTGAGAGAGAGCATTAGAGAGTCACTCTTGAACCGGATAAAGGAGTTGGCGGACAAGATAAGGGAGAACTGATCGTGTCGGGATGAGGGCAAGCTGCGTAGGATTGATCTCGCGACGAAAGAGTTAGAGAGTTTGTTCAGAGAGGACAGAGAGATTATCCAGGCGTGGAGATCAGACTTCCTGGAGAGGGTAAAGGCTAAGAAGCTTTCGCGCGAAGGATCTAAGGAAAAGTCTGCAGATACGGAGGACAAGGTAACGCAGGGAGATAGCAACAGGATATGAGCGGGACTGCCGTACACACGACGGATAGGTACTCATTGCAAGTGGTAGGGAGACTGGACGGACCGTTGGTGTTAGTGATCGTAGAGCTCCAGCTCCATACCAGATTGTGCATAGTTGAGGAGGCAGAGTGTGTTCGCCGTGCACTGCGAGAGGGTAGGGAAACAGGACTTTGGATTGGAGTGGAAGGAGGACGAAGGATAAAATACGTACTTCAAGTGACACCTTTCGAAGAGCGGCATCGGATAAGGGCGTGGTACGAGACGATTAGAGAGGCTGAGAGGTTGAAGATAAGCGAAGCTAGGAGAGCTAGGGAGCTAGGGAGAGTTATAATAGACGGAGCAATACTCAGGGTGCTGGCTGCTCACGACCGATACTGCAAGGAATCGATAAAGACTTTAGAGGCCATAGAGGATAGCGGAGATGAGGAAGAGTTTGAGGCGTTCTATGATCTATTGGAGTTGTCTGTGATGAGATTACGGGCGGCTATAGCACTGACTTTCCTCAGATACTAGACAGACGACCCTATAGCTGACTAGGAAATAGAGGAGGGAGAACACTTGGAAAGATAGTGGAGGTGAGAGAGGCCAGAAAGGCGACTTTAGATGGCAGTAGGAGGAGAGTTTCCTCCGTTTGCGGGCTACCCGATTCAGGCCGGACTGAATGATCTAGTGAGGAGGGCGGAGATAGACGCTCAAGGACTCTTGAGGGGCGCAAGTCGGGAGACATTGATTAGGCTTGGGACTACGATCTGAAGTAGGAGTAGAGATCCTGTCACGGGTGTAGTGAAGATCAGGAGAGGCGCGACCTTGTTGGCGGATCCCGAAGGAGAGGTTTACATAGACACAGGGATTTTTGGGATAGAAGGAGAGCACGAGATCCGTGACCCGAACGGAGTGCTGGTGGTGGTAATCAGAGTGGTCGAGAGCTAGGATTGGAGACGAGTGCGAACCGTGACAAGGAAATAAGTCCGGGCTGCGAAATCTGTCACAGGCCTGGGCTGCGAGAACTGTCACAGGTTCGGGCTGCGAGGTCTGTCAGAGGTCCGGGCTGCGAGGTATGTCATAGGTCCGGGTTGTACCACCTGGTGTAAGGGTCCGACTACAACTACCGGTAGCTTATGGAACCAGACACGATGGGGCCACAACCAACCACGAGCGAAGTAGGAGAGGAGTACAGGACGTCGCCCGACCGGGCGCTGAGAGATCTGAAGGAACGAATTAGGCAGGGATCACCGCTGAGATGGGTTGATCAAACCAATCACGGAGAACCCGACATAATGGGTGAGCTGGTCGTGACAGAGCCGGAGGAGGCTTTGAAAACTGGGACCTCGAGCGCTCGACGAGAAGCGACGACACGACGTTCCTCCGAGAACGAACGGAGGGAAAGCAGGGAGGATAGGCCCAGAGACGACTGGAGAGAGGGTTCACGAGATTCCTATTGGAGGGACAGAGACCAGGATACGCACCACCCCGGCGTGTCTTCGACCCCCAGACGGGGGAGTCACATCCGCTCCCTTATGAGAGCAAGGATCGCTATATTATTACACACAAGGCCTCGGAGCCTCCTACTTTCAGGGTCTATGGTATCACAGAATATCTGGAGAAGTGGGAGCTTCATGCCAGCCGGAGTCACTGGTCAGAGGAAGAGATTATAGAAAACTTCGTATTTAATGTAGATCCAAGTCTCGGCAAGGAAGTTAAGGAAGCCCGACCGAAGGATGGGAAATGGACTACGTATAAGAAGAACCTCATTGAGCTTTACAAATTAGAGGATAACAAGTACTCCATCAAGGACCTTGAGACTATGACCCAAGATGAAGATGAAAGCGTACGGGCATTTGAGAAACGTTTCCAGAAGATCTCCGACGTGCTGATGAAGAAGGGGAAGATCTCAGAAGTTGAGCGCTGTACAATCTTCATTGGACATTTGTCCAAAGGTAGACAAAAGAGCATACTTAGAGATCTCCCGCGCGACAAGCTGGACTTCCTAGAGGTCCTAAAGCTCGCGATAAAGGCAGAGGCAGACGACTACAAGGATCTGGTATGGAGAGGAATGAGGAGGCGTGATTTCCCTCTTTATAAGGAGTATGCCACTGATAGGTGTCCTGATTTCAAGGACTATCCCTGGTCGGAAAAGAAAGAAGCCGTGGCCGAGGAAGTGAAGGAGATCAGGGATATGGTGAAGGGACTGACAAGACAGGTTATAGAGATTGTGACCACCACAGGAGCCACGGCTTACCGGGACAAACCCGGAGGGCCCTATTCACTTCGCTGGGACCGTAGGAATACCGATTCCTGGAAAAGTGTTGATGATAGAAATCCCCGAACGCTAACCGATTATCGTGTGAGAGAAAGGGAGAGAGACGATGAGCCATGGCGACGTAGGGATGATGAGATAGACCGGGACCGCAGGGCTCGCGAGACGTATGGACAAGCTAGGAGGCTGGATGATTACTCACGTAGCCCCTGCTATGAGGCAAATGGGGGTAGAGGTGACTCTCGAGGTAGGTGGGAGTCAGATCAGGGCCGACGAGACAGATACAGGGACGACAGATATGAGAGGACGGACTGAGATGGGTACGGGGGTGACAGGTATGAGAGAGGAGATCGAGACGGAGACCGACGAGATGACTCGCGCGGACGGTATGACCGCGGGGGATTCGCGAGGGCACAACGCGACGACTCGCGGGGGTGGTACGACCGAGGAGGTCGACGCAATGAGTCACGCGAGCGGTACGACCATGGAGACCGTCGGAATGACTCGCGGGGACGATATGAGCAAGGAGGATCTGGGGGAGACCGCCGCAATGATTCGCGCGGCCGGAATAAGAGAGGCGGATATGGCGCGCCATCCGAACCATATATTCTGGAATATCTGGCGGCATCCAAGCCAGCTCGTGACGAGTGATAGATGATCACGCGGGAGACTCGCATACCTCTATCAGAGGAGGTTCAGGTGACCCCTAAGGCGGATGCTCCTATTGTAGCAGTATCGGAGTTGACTGCTGGAGCAGATCACATGGCGACGGTTCTTCTTGATGGGATGGAAGGTATGCCTCCAGACAAGTTTTACATACTTGGCAGTGGGACCGTGGAGGCGATCATAGACGACGAAGCGGTACTAGATGCTGTGATCGATAACGGTAGTGAGGCTGTCATTATAGACGAGGATCTGGCGGAGCGAGTCGGACTGAGACTCGATAGGTCATACTTATTCGAGATAGAGACGGCTGATGGGAGAAAACAATAGATCACAGGAGTTTGTCATAAGGTAGTCATAGAGGTCCAAGGGGTACGAGTGACCCTGCCGGTCTTTGCAGTCAAGAACTGCAGCTTTGACCTGCTCTTGGCATGGACATGGTTGAGCCATGTGCATTCAGTGACAATAGAACGGCCAGACGGGAGACAGACACTGTCCATTAAGAAGCTTGATGGGACGCGGGTTATGATTGAGACGGTGGAGCGTCGAGATCCGAGGAATAGAGCAACTCTCGCTGTGGGTGCAGGACCCAGTGATCGGGTTAAGTCATTACCTATCTCCGGCCACGCGGTGCGTTTTCGGGAGAAGAAGTATGTACCACTGCTCACAGAAGAAGAAGGTCGGATTATAGAGGTGGAAGATTTAGGGAGTCGGCTGATAGTGGACGGCAACTCGTATCCAAAGGAGGCAGATGAGAAGTTTGGCGGCATGATATTTATGTCTTTTTTAAGGGCACGGCCCCCTATGGGGGGCTACCCAAGCGACACAAGCGAGTAACTCAGAAAGTTAAGCCAGCGGCGATGGGCCGCGAGCAATCTGCACTGGAAGGAATATCGGAAGAAGAGATCGCAAAGAAAATCAAAGAAAGGAAGAAAAAGGAGCCGCAACGCCTAACGGAAGAGAAGATAGCAGGAATGGACATCGGAGATGGAAATCTGACCCCATAGGAACGGGAACGTGTGATAGAAATCCTAAAGACTTGCGATAAGGCTATAGCTTTCAGCGACGCGGAACGCTGCAGGGTCGACCCTCGATACGCTAAGCCAACAAGGATTTATACGATTCCACACGTCCCATGGAATGACACGGGATGAAAATACGCCCAGAAGGAGAAGGAAGAGGTTATTGCGTTCCTAAAAGAGAAGATGACTTCACATGTTGCCGAGCCATCTGACACCGCTTATGCTAATCGATGGTTCTTCCTACGAAAGCCGAATGGCAAGATCCGGTGGATCCAGGACCTTCAGAAGGTCAACGCGGTGATGATACGAGACGTAGGCTCTGTGCCTCACGCTGACTTATTGGCTGAGGGTGCCGCGGGCAGGTCAATTTATTCGGTCTGTGATTTTTTTTCAGGCTATGATGAGGTACCGCTTGATACCAGGGACAGACACCTCACGGCTATGCACACACCATTGGGACTGATACAGATGATGGTCGTCCCTATGGGTTGGACTAATGGGGTGGCCGTTTTTCAGAGAGACATGGTAGCCGTCCTCAAGGACTTTATTTCGAATAAGGTTGAAGTTTTTCTGGATGACTTTCCTATTAAAGGACCAGTAAAGAAAGATGAGACAGAGGTCGTGCCTGGAGTTAGGAGATTTGTCGAGCAGCACCTAACCGATATTTGCGCAATACTTGAGCAGTTGGACGATGCAAATCTGACGGTCAGCGGAGCAAAGAGCCGGTGGGTCGTCTCGACTATAAAGATCCTAGGTTTTATCTGCGACTCGAGAGGACGCCGAGCGGATCCCATGAAGCTAGACAAACTCCTAAATTGGTCGTCGTCTTTACATAGTGCGACCGAAGTCCGACAGTTTCTAGAGGTGGTTGACTATTGGCGGATTTTCATACACGGGTATGCGGAGAAGGCGGAGCCATTGAGGGTACTCCTTCGGAAGACTGAGAAATTCTACTGGGATTCTTCTCAGGAACTCGCTATGCAAGAGCTTAAAGATAAATTCAAGGAGGGAGGGCGCGTACTCGGCGTGCCGTTCTTTGATGATGAGGTCGGGAGGCCCTTCATAGTATCCACGGATGCTGGGCCTTGTTCGGTTGGAGGCCTGCTGTCTCAGAAGGACGCAGAGGGGAAGGAAAGACCGTTAAGATTTGAGAGTAGGACTCTTAACACGGCTGAGCGTAACTACAGTTAATTCAAGAAGGAAGTGTTAGCTGTTCTGCGGTGTCTAGACACATTCAGACACTATATCTACGGGTGACGATTCATCTTGACTCTTGAGAGTTGATCCCACGGCGGTTGCCTCTGTCCTCCAGAAGGACTTTAGTCTGACGGACCCGACCATCGCACGATGGTTAATACGGATTCGACTATATGATTAGACAGTTGAGAGAATATCGGGTACTAAGAATGTCGTGGCAGATGGACTTTCTCGGATCCCTCTTGAGGCTGAGCGCCCCATAGTAGCTGGAGCCCTGACAATGGCGGAGCCGAGACGCGCCGATCGATTTCTGGTTAACCTTTACGAAGGCAAATACCGAACGATCGGGTTACATTTGTCGGGTGAGGAGAGTCGAGATTCAGATATCTGGAGACAAGCAGCCCAATACTGCCTTAGAGCGGGCCATCTATTTCGTAGACCAGTCGGGTCGGGGATGCCCTTACGAGTAGTCTGCGATGCTGAGGAGAGATAGACGATAGTTGCGGAGCTTCACGACGGGGTAGTTAGAGGACATAGAGGAGTAAAAGGGACCTACGAAAAGGTACGCAGGTTGTACTGATGGGAAGGACAGTATAAGGACGTCGAGAGATACTTTGTAACTTGCGAGGAGTGCCAGAAGAGGGCCCTTGTGAAATAGAAAGAGCCACTTCATCCATCCTATCCGACCAGGCCAGGAGAGAAGGTACACATCGATCTGGTGAACATGCCGAAAGGAGTAGGCAATATGAACTACGTTGTGAACATACGAGACGACTTCACTGGGTTCGTCGACGGCAGACCCATCAGGAGTAAGACGGCAAGGGAAGTGAAGAACTTCCTCCTAGAGTACTGATCTAGGTATGGATGTGTCAGCAAGATAGTGATGGATAGAGGGGCGAAATTTCTGGCAGAGGAGGTTCAGAGTGTGTTCAAGAGAGCTGGAGCGAGAGTTTCGATAGCCACCGCCTATCACCTGCAGTCGAACTCTCCAGTAGAGAGGGGACACCGGTCTCTGATAGCATCACTGTCCAAGTGGTGCAAAGGTAAGGACAGTGATTGACCACAATATTTCCGATACGCAATATGGGCAGACAACGTCACGGTCCGGGGTAGCACTGGATACCCACCATACACCTTGTGGTTCGGGCGACATTGTCCTTTCCCTATAGAGTTTCACGTTGACAGCTGGACAACTGTCCACTGGGCGGAAAGGATGTCCAGCAGGGTTGTCAAGCCCCGACCCCGGGGCCCCGGCGGGGGTCCGGGGGTCCGGGGGTGGGCACCCCCAGCCCCGACTCCAAACCCCCCCCCAAAAAAAAAAAAAAAAAAAAAAAAAAAAAAAAAAAAAAATCAAAAAATAAAAA